AATTAGTGGTTATATTAAAAATGGACTATCTGTCAATTTTCATTCAACGTTGTTCAATGCAGTTCGACTAGTTCAAGCGCTTCGTTCACCCATGACCATCGTGACGTCGCAGGAGAAACCGTGGTCGGTCATATATGACCAACGTGGCAGTCAAAGTACAGGTAGTCCTCCTACAACATGGCATTTTATAACACGATTCATAAATGACGGGAACCCTCCTACAACACGGCATCCTATAACACGGTTTCGCTCTAACACGATAAGAAAATTGCAAAAACCTTTGAACAGCACTGTACTTCTACATGAGCAGTGATGACGAAGGAATTAATTAAATTAAAGTTGCGTTAAATTAAAATAACATTTCTGCCCTTTTTCGTGTTGTACGTACATTTATATTTTTAACAAGAATTCAGTTGTTTATGTGCAATTAAAGAAGAAATTTATTTCGGTACGTAACCCCCCTTTCTGTACCGGCTCTGGGTCTCATGCAACACGGTTTCACACAACACAGCATTTTCTAGGAACCTATCTACCGTGTTATAGGAGGGTTACCTGTATTAGATTGTCCCATAAGTTCTTTCCGCGTCACGCTATGTATGTCCTCGAGCCGGCTATGTTTGTAAACATGCTGGATTATCTATTCTCCGTTTATGGCATCGTTTTCAGTCGTCTCACAGCTCTTTCGAAGTACGTTTCGTTGGTGACAAAGTCTCTTTTGAAATCCTTTTCTACGCCGTTCAATATGGATAGCCGAAAGATGCATTCGCGGCATGTTATGCTTGATTGCTTTAAAAAAGGTAGTAGTGCAAAGGACACTGCAGACGAGATTTGCAGCGTTTATGGGAGTGGTGCTACGACTGTGCTATACTACGACCTTGCCCCATCCGATTATTACTTGTTCCTTTCGTTAAAAAATTCTCTCCGTGACAAATGTCACAAATCCGAAAGCGAAATAAAAACGCGCCTCGATGAATATTTTGCAAGTAAGTCTGAACAATTTTGGAAAGAGGGCATAACGAGGCTTCGTGAGAGATGGAAGAAGGTAACAGAGCAAAACGGTTCATATATGACACAATAAATCAATCTTAAACAACCAATATCGTCTATTTATTTGGCATCAAGAAAAAAGGAAGAAATTTTTCGGACACCCTAATATTAATTTGCCTATAATAATACGCGAACCTGATCGAAGCCTGGGAAAGCTCTTGAAATTTTCCACCGATGTACCATTCCGTGTCGCGCGTTCGCGTGACATGCACAGACACGGTGAAAAATTAACAGAGACGCGCAAACTCGGTGGAATCGTTACCCGAGTGCGAGGGGTGGGAGTCGAAAGGTCTAACTCGAAATCAAATGCCGCGATTCGTTGTTCGCAGCTCATTACCGGGCAGCGAAATCAATCGCGCGGAGCGGTCGAATTAATAAGCTTCGTCGGTGCATTAAATTGTTACTCGTTGCGCGGTAATTGCGCGTTCAAATTCCCGACGGAGAAGTCGGCCGAAAACTGACGGGAATTTCGAATTCAATTTGGCCCGCCCACTTTAGAAGCTGCACAGGATACACGCGTAAATTGGATTGCCAATGTAGGTATGCTCGCACTTGTGTCAGCGTTAGGCTCTGGTTACCGTAGCCCTGACTCTGCCAATTAACCGTATCTATTTGCCCCGATACAAATTCGAGACGCGGCTCTGGTTGATTTGCATTCGATTCCATTAACGAGCCGGTATCCAACCGCGAATCCCCGTCAATTTTCGACCTTCCGGCACGACCGCTCGCTCGTCACTCTCGGTGCCACCCCGCTTACGAGTCGGGGGTTGACAGTGTTTTGCAAATTGGGATGTAAAAATAGGGATGTAGATCGGCGAAGTAAATAAAAGTGGATTTAGTAGCTGCTTACGAAGGTCGCTGACGGTGTCGAATTGGAAATTTCCACGGTGTCGAAATATTTCGTCACACTTCGAACATCGTTCCCACACAAACGCGTCAAAGCCACGCGGCGTTAGTTTTCGAGATATTCGCTGTCAAAGGTTTCCGATACTCCGTACGCGTTTCGCGAGTGTTAGCAATCGTGGGTGTCTTATCGCGTGAATTCGCAGGCCTGGCATTGGCACGCGGATCTAGCCGAACCTACAACTAATTAAGTAATTACGGCCAAGTGGGATAGGCCAGAATTAAAATCAGGTCGAGATCCACTGTCACGAGCACTCCCCATTGTACGCGGACCCCCGCGCGTGAGGAGAAATCATCGTAAGAGGAACGATTTTTCGCTCATTTTTCATCAGAAATTAAGGTCGAGAGACGATTACGCGTACGGGGGGAAATTATCCAGGATGGCGTCTCTGAAAATATGTCCCGTCGTGAAAATCGACGAGGCGTCTCTCGAATCGGATAATTACCGATACTCGGATCTTCGTTCCGGTGCAGTGTCCCCATCGACTTCTTTAACGAGGGTCGACCGATGGAAAAGTGGCAGGTGGCGGAATTTCGGTGAGATTACAGCCAATGTTCCCGCCACGAGCACCCCTCGTCGATTTCTCCTTTCGCCCCTCGGCGGCTACAGCGTCGTAGCCAATTATAAACCGCGGTGGGAAAGTCTGATCTCGGATTCTTCGGGATCCGGAACGAAACCGAAATACCCTCGTCGAGATTCCTCCGCGATCCCCTGCTCCGCGAACATTCGAACGTTGTTGGCTGGTTTGTTCGTCGAAGATACGAAAGACTGGCCGAAATCCGTGGAAAATCGTTTAAGCCGTCGGCGAGGAAAAGTGCGGTAACAGAGGGGCGTGTGAAATTCATAGGCACGTCTGGAGAATTAACGCGAGCAGGGGGAAAGCCAGGGGCTAACGTCGCGGTGCATGCGACAAATTATGCAAGTGCGAGACAGCCGGGCCGCGTTGCGATAATCGCGTGAACGGGACATTATACGGTCGTAATTGACGGCACGCTAATTGCATTACTAATCGTGCGCTTCCGTGCACGAAGCGCCACGCGAACGTCGAACGCGTGTGCCGAAATACCGTGTCGGTATTACCCGGCGTGTCGCTGTTTACCTTTCGGTTTGCATTCCTTTTTTCAGCCGAACTTTCCATTTTTCTCGCCTTTTCAAATTTTTGTCCGCAAGGTTTCGGTAACGCCACGAGAGACCGTGAAAACGGGTTCCATTCGCGAATGAACGAGGAGGTATTTCCGTGCCGATTATTCATTCACTGGATATACCAAAGAGGCCTGATCCCTCTAAATTAGCTTCCACCGACAGGGGTTGGGCTGCCTTGTAAAACATTTATTATTCCCTGGCAGTCGCAGCGCCTGCGTGACACTTCCTCCCGTACATGTGGACGATGAGCGTTGTCCTTTGCTCGTTTTTCCGCTGCCTGAAAAATGTGTCAACGGGGGAAAAATTGCAACCGGTCGCTTGTTCCCTTGAAAAAATGGTTTTAACCGAGTAATTAACCGGAAAAACGTAGTCGGAAAGAGCGCTCGTAACGATCGCAAATTTTGCGGTTGTTGCGTCGAAAGCTGACACGGAGGACCCGTGTCTCGTTAGCTTTTTCGGCACGCGACATGGCAGTGTCGGCCTAAATTCTGTCTAATGTTAAATCATCGTCAAAGCGGGAATTGGCGTCGCTGGCCGTGCAAATATCGGTTTGTCAGCTTTCCCATCCAATTTCAACCTTTTAATCCATGCACGACGAAATTCTCTTTTATTTATCCCGATTCGACGTGGCACACGGTTAATGAAACATTCGATACGACGTGTCTGTCCGCGTGAAACGAAAAGGTCTTCGACATCCTACGCAAATATTTCCCTTCGAGTTTGCCTCTCGACTCGCCGAGACGCGAGCTATCGATCTCGGTTATCCAAAGTTCCATCCTCGAGCATGAGTCCTTCGCCGTTTTTACTCCTCTCTCCAGCCCCCTCTGTTTTCGTTCATATCGCCCAAGTAAGCGTCACATCCCGGCACAGATTGCCTCTTCGTTTCTCTCGTTGCCTCGATTCGCTGTTTGTCAAACTTCCGCCAAACTTTTCTTATTACTCCCATTGTAAACATTCGCTCGCAGCATCTGTCGGCGATCAACGATATAAATGCTATTGAAATCGTATAAAATAACGCACGAGCCCTATTGTTCCGCGAGTGCTTTACGTGAAAACTTTGCAGCGCGAGCGGATGAACGAGGAACGAAACAAAGAGGTACGTTAAACGCTTGCTTTTCCGCCGCGCGGTGTTCCGTGTTTGAGCGAGCGTGCGTCGAAAGAGGAATCCTCGCTTTCATCCCCGCGTTTCGTTTCAATGATACTTGGCGTCGATCGCGGCAGTCTTTGCGGCGAAAATGTCGATACGAGGTACGATCGTGACTCGAGGAAGAATATCTAACGCTTCCATGATTGACTTCCATGGTGGTCACCGGTGTCCGGCGATACTAATTTCTTTAATTTATATTTGTTTTATTGCAACCATTTCTTGAAAATTTGAAGAACGTAAATAAATAAATAGACATTAATAATTTGCACCATTTTTCCCCGTATTGTTCGATGATTCGTCACTGTGTCGCAAGAATAACGCAAATTTTATCGCGGTACCGTATAAAAGGTGCGTGGCAGACAAAGTGTTAAGAACGCGGACAGCTGGTCGGATGAAGTCTCTCAGCCCGCGTGTCTTGAAAGGAGGATTATTTCCAATTAATTCGAATTGCCTCTGTGATTGGTATCAAACGCTATATTCACTCATACTTCGAGGAAGAAGTCCAAAGGTACGACACACCTCTGTCATCGTTTCTACTCTGCCTTATGGGCGTAGTACAGGGACAAATAGCACGGACATGGTACTCGTGGGTTCGTGTTCCATTGCAACCGTAAATCGAATATCGAACGATCTCTTCCCGCGAAATTGCATCCACTCTTCGCGGTCGAATTTATCGAGTCACGCATCCGCTTCGTCGTCGAGGAAAATGGGTCCACGAAGCGGCTCTTGTCTTCGTCCGAAAATATCCAGACCAGAGGTCCCGGGGCTTTTTCCCTTCGTCGAAGGGCTGCGACTATTTCCTGAGAAACAAGACAATCGACGGTAGCTCGGGGACGACTTCCGTACCGAGAAAACGATCGCAGAGCGTATTACTCACCGTCGATCGCGTGTCGACTCGATCTCTATCTAGTCCTCTTCTTCGAGACGAACGCGATCTTCAGCAGGTTCACCACTGGCGCCTCGAACGCCATGGAAATGCAGAAGGAAATCAAGTAGGAGGCGACCAGGTTGCCAAAGTACAGGATCAGCTGAGGAAACAAGCGTGTGCCATCGTGAGACGTGTCTTCTGATTCGGTAGACTCGCGAGCAGGGTGTCTACCTACCACGACGGTGTTGTGAAGGTGCAACGGCCCGTCCATTTGGGCAGCGACGAAGGTCATGAGGACGGGGTGCACCAGGTAGGCGCAGTAAGTCAACCTGGATAGCGGATACATGAGTCTGAGCGACAAGAAGCTGTCGATCATCCTGGCGGAGCCGGTGCAGCATTGGATGACTATGAAGGATACACCGATCGCCCAGGCCGTGTGTCCCAAGGCGGCGTACACGGAACTCACCGGCACGGTTAAATTTCCGGGGTACAGGCCGTAAACTACCGAGAACATTATGGCGCTGGATAACACCCAGCCGATCGCTCGTGCGACCTGGAACAGTAGCGTGGAAGCTCGCTCGGTCTCGTCCCGATGTGAACCGCGCTGATGGCTAAATAATTCGTCAGAGACCGGCTCGAACGAGCTTATCCGATTTCAATCTCGTCGGAATACCTGTCGCGTGGATCCAGCGGGGAATTTGCATACCGCTTACTCGGATCAACCGGAACATTTTTCAGGATTAAACTACTTACCAGAGGCAATTTCAATTTACAATTCGTTTTAAACAAAATGTAACCCGTGCTAACGCCCACGAAGTAAGGACCAGCTCTTAGCCAGGGTTTATCGTAGAGCTCGTCGAAGAGAGCAAACGGTTCCTGGATCCTGAGTGGGAAAACAAAAAGGGGAGATTACAGTTGGCGCGATGGCTCCATTGAAGTTTGAAGGGCTTGGCGCAGATGGAAAGTATAGCGCTCGCTGAATCATCGTGATACGGAATTAATCGTATTTTCGCGAAACCAAAGACCCCGGCATTTAATTACGCGGAATCGAAAGTCCGAGCCGCTGTTTCTCCGTTTCGCGTTACGAAAGTTTCCGATCGATATGCAGCTAGGCGAAATTATACTTTCCGGCGGCGGATACGCGTGCAAGAAAAAGGGAAAAGGAGGGAAAAAAGCGAAAGGATTTTAATATTAAACAGCGTGCATTAAACATGTGAATCGGGGCACATTTACATACCGCATTGTGCGCAATTGAAACGTTTGTATAGTTAACGGGCTAATTACCTGGCTACGTAATCGTTGGAATAGGCGATGGCGAAGGTAGTGAACGACGAGGAGACGATGAGCAGAAAAACCACGACGACGATGGCCTTTAAGTACTTAATAGACAGAAGAAGCAAAAGTATTCCAAGAACGTAGAACTGCGTGTCATTTGCCATGTACCAGCTCCACAGCATACACTGGAAAGTTGTTAATCGAGTATTCATCGGATAATTGCGTGAAGGTTCAACGAGCTGAGACTAGGTCGGACTCGCGAGAGTATCGGAAAATACTTGGTCCACGGAAAATTTATAGCCGAGAAAGGCGCGAGGCTAATGGATCAAACGTCAAACTAGCGGATGGTTTGATCAAGCGGAAGCATTTTGATAACGTTCGTATAAACCTCGCCATTTTTCTCGACGATTCCACGATGGCGGCAATCGAACAGGCGCGACAGCTTTTTCGAAGCGTAGCGAGCAAACGCGGCCTTGTAACCGGTGATAATTAACCGACTCTTCTTTCGTCAACGGAATCGATTTTAGGATGGTTAGAGACACACTGGCTGCGTGATCCCGTCGCTTTGGAACTTTCCCCGAACGATAGAATTAATTATCGGAAAACGATCGAGACGCTGACACCTTTCCTGCCACCCGTAACCTCCGCGGGCCCATGCTTCCTGCGGTGGGAAATTTCGCAGCATCCTCTTGGCCCGGTGCACGGTTGTTCTTTGATTTAATTGTCTTTGCTCTCGGGTTAAGCGCCACGTCGATAACCGACTAACGGGTCCGTGAGGTTTTCTTAAACGATAAAGAGTTCTTACCATTTCCGTGCGAGGGTAGAGCGAGTTGAGGTACAGCGCGTTCCTCCACCAGAACTTCTCGCATGTCAAATGATCGATAACCGTCGGCGAGAATACCGTCCATGCAATGGTATGCTTGATGGCGATCTCGTTTATTCCCAGGACAAAGAGATAGGCTGGTGTCAATCTTGGTAAAAGGAAATCGAAGGGAGTCATTACGGATACACGTTTGACCGAGATCGGGTAATCGCTTATCGGACGGCGCTTTTCTCTATTCCAAGTTTTCATGCTTGACCAAACGATCGCGTACCAGATTTTAATTTTGATCTATGGCCTACTCGCGACTTCCCTTTCTCGCGGCCAAGAAAATCTTCCCCTCTTCCGCCTCGGGTTTTCCGATCAACCGCAGAAGTTCGTCTCTGCTTACCTGATGAATCTATAGAGGATCATGATAACGAATTTCGTGAAGCAGGTCTTCCAGAAGGAGTCCGTGTCGGTCTTCAAGCTCCCGGAAGATCGATAGAACAGGATGGTAACCAGCAGGCCACTGAAACGATCGTATTCGCGTTAATACCGTAACGATTGATCGTTAAACTAGGGATAATTCGGTGATTGTCGTCTTACCTGATGAAGAAGAACGTGTCTACCGAGTAGGTGGCGTTGCTAATCGTTTGAAACATAAAATTCCGTTCTGTGACCGTGCGTAGAGTCTTGTTCTCTGCGAATCGCGATAGAGAAAGTCATCATCTCGGAATTATCAGTGAAAGTCGGAGAGAACGAAGGCTCGATTACGACGGATCAGGAAAACCGGTATGTTCCGTTGCATCATAATATGTTCGAGCTCCATCTATCGTTAATCACGACAACGCTCGGTGTTATTAACAACGATACCGTTATTGCTCGTTATCGCCGACTCGTTACCCTCGCGAGACTCTCGACGTCGACGGATTTAACGGAAATGTAAGCTCGCGCATGCAGGAGGAAGAGCGAAGAAGCATACCGGCAATGGCGAAGACTTGAAGATAGGTGTGCACCAGGATGACCCATCCCAACGAGAATACTCGCAGGCCGTGCAGACATGTCAGGCTATCTCTGGCGGCAGGCTCGGTGCTAATAATCTTGCTTCCGTTCGCGATGGGATTGAACGCTGTCAGACACGTTAGCCAGAAGCCTGAGAAAGAGAGAACGGGTGAAAAAAGCTGTTAGGGGAGAGAAGATTAGAGCGAGAGGAAGAAGGAGAGATTAGGTCGAAAGTACCACCTTTCTTGCTCTCCTTTTTCGCTCGATCGGCCAGGTCTTTTTGCAACCTCTTCCCTTTCTCGATCAACTCCTCTCCGTTCTCCTGCGCCACTCCGCTCTCCTGGTTCAGATTCTTGTTGGAAAAATTGCTCAGCCTCTCGTTGTTGTTCGACACGCTGGAGGATTCCGCGTCCTTGGCGTTTGGCAGCGTCCCGTACTCGTAGACGGTGGCGCAGAGCATCAGGAACAGCACCGTGCCACCGACTGCTCTGAAAAACCACCCGGAACAGATGCTTCGCAAACGTAATGCGCGCCGGAGGGGCGAGGACGGGGGAAACGCGTTATTAGAGGCGGGTTTGGAGAAAACTAATTGCACCGGTGCCCGACGACCTGTCGTTCTCGCCATGATAATTTTAATAGAGTAATCTTTTTACGCGACAAATTTACATTTATTTTAAGCGACTGAAATTACAGCGAGAAAGTAAAGCGGGGCATTAAGGCGTACATTAAAACGCAAAATTAGCGGCGGCAACCGCTAAAACGCTCTTAAATCATGAGGGGATACGGGCGGCTTTCCGTGGAATATTCTTTTTCTGCCTCCGCCATCCTTCCCCGAGACGTTCCGTTGCTCGTTTCGGAACGCGATTAACCGATCCTGCTACCCCTGTAAACGCTCGCCTATATTATCCCGCAACGACAATTCCGAGCAAGTAATTGTCCTTGTTCTTCGATGCAATTGATTTAATAACGCGATTCGTGAATCGGCGAAACGACGTAATTTTCACTAGGACTGATCGCGAATCGGCGAAACGACATAATTTTCACTAGGGCTGATTCGTGAATCGGCGAAACGCGAAAGTCGTAAATCGCGTTGCGGGAATTACGTAACGAATAATTGCCGCGTCGCGGGTAGCGTTTTACGCGCGGCAATAAAAGCCTCCCTGGCTGTATTTATTCGGGATAATTAATTTCGATAATACCGCGGTATTAATCCTCGACCCCGAAGTAGTTGCGTCGTTGGCGCGTATTCCGGCACGCGAGGTAAGGTAGGCTAATCCTTGAAGCCACTTCGACCCACCCGTGAACACCTGCGAGTCCAATTAATTCCGTCAGAAATTAATATCCTCGCATCTATTAACCATCCTTGCCTTTTCCTACCATCAAACGAATCAGTTTCTCTTTTGGTATTATCCGATCGATGAACCGACTAATTGCCTGGTTAATAGGTAACGTTCGCACCGTTGACATCGAATAGATCTCGTCGAGTCTAGATCCGGAGTTCTCGAAGCATTTATCCTTGGTTCGGTTTATTAACATTTTTCTTTCTTTACCAATTGCGTATTACTACCTCGCCAATATTTATTATAATATTTATTTATTCGCGATGAGAGGGACAGAATGTCGGAATGTCGTCGCATTTATTAACCATCCTTGCTTTTTCCTAAATCAAACGAATCGGTTTTCCTCCTTTCGTATTACCCGATCAACGAACGTATTAATTACCCGGTTAATAGGTAACGTTCATCCGTGATCCATGTTCATCTCGACGTATCTAAATCCGGAGTTCTCGAAGGATTTTTCCTCCGTCCGGTTTATTAAAATTTTTCGTTCTTTACCAATTGCGATTACTACCTTGCCAATGTTTATTCGCGACGAAAAGGAACCGATGCGGATGTCGTCGCATCTATTAACCATCCTTGCTTTTTCCTAAATCCAACGAATCGGTTTCTCCTTTCGTATTACCCGATCAACGAACGTATTAATTACCCGGTTAATAGGTAACGTTCATCCGTGGTCCATGTTCATCTCGACGTATCTAAATCCGGAATTCTCGAAGAACTTTCTCTTCGTCCAGTTTATTTAAATCTTTTCCTTCTTCATCACCCGTGTTTGCCATCTTGCCAATGTTTATTCGCGAAAAAACGGAGCCACTGGGACGTCGTCGCATCTATTAACCATCGTTGCTTTTTCCTAGATTAGACGAATCGATCTCTCCTTCGGAAATATCCGATTAATGGACTAATTACCTGATTAATAGTTAACGTTCCCCGGTGACATCGAATAGATCTCGACTGGTCTAAATCCGGACTTCTCGATGGACTTTCTCTTCGTCCATTTTATTTAAATTTTTCTTTCTTTGCCACCTGTGTTTGCCACCATGCCAAGGTTTATTTACGAAGAAAGAGAGCCGATGGGGATGAAAAACTGCGATCGAACGCTGTTTATGGCACGAAATGGTTCCCAGGAGATCGCGGCACCTGTCGAACCGTAATCCGTCAACGGCGAGTTTATGTCGGCTATAAGGATTCTCGACGACTCAATCGTTGCAGCGTGAAATGGTCCGCCTCGAAGCCGATTTTTCAGCTCGCGGTTCTTCGAGCAAGCACAAGAATGTAATCGATAGATCCGCGATGAAACGCGCGAGTTTCGTCGCGCGGTAACGACGCGGCCATTTTGTTTTCTCGTTTAACCCGCTTAATCGTTGCTCAGCGACATTCCACGGGAAACGGTGGTTCGATTAACCGTGTCGTTCGTTCCTCTTCGTTCGAGAGAAAGTGGACGATAAACAACGCTCGTCTTTCTCTTTCTTATTTTTTTAGGTTAGTAGCCTGACTAGCAACGGCGTAGAGAGAGCGACTGGTGTCACAGCGAGGTAGAGAGAACGGGGACGATCGGGTGAAATATTTATTTTCGTCGAAGCTCGGCGAATAAGGGATTTCCGGCTTCCGTTGCGTCGAACACACCGACGTAAACTTATTCCGGACGGCCGGGGACAAAGGGCAAAAAGCGAGTCGTTTTGCTACGCTAATGGTCTCTTAAAAGCGAATCACGATGCACCGGGGTAGAATAAAGCGGCAAACAAGTTTTTCCTTCGGCCTTAACGCGGACCCGCCCAGCGTGATCCTGCGCATCCGTGGAATCGCGGAGCGGATGGAAAGCAGCGGTATAACCGCGACGAAACTTGCCAGATCTAAATTGTCTCGTGACTCATTTGCATTCTCTTATTTATCTCGAGCTTTTCCAAGCTCGCGCGCGCGCGTGGTAGAGTCCTCGAGGTGGAATCGAAAGGAAGGGGTGAAAAAGGGAAGTCACGGAGTTGCCGTGAAAGTTGGAAGCCATCCCGTGGCCGAGGAGCATCGAATCCGGCTGCAAACTTCCCGTTAACGCGTTGCTTACAGAGAATTGCTTCTAGGTCGAAGACTACTTTTCTCAAACCTTCCCCGACCTTTACCGTGATCCCACGGGGACGTAACGGTAACGCGTCGGTACAAATTTTCAATTTATCCGCAAATTGTACCGTGCAACGTCTATCCCACGAGAGAACGGGCCACGCCGTGTCGGGGTGGGGCACGAGGGGCCAATACGACGTTCGGTGCGAGTGCATCTTCTTCAAAATCCCAATAACGGGCACAATTTGCTCCGTATGCGGCAACCATTTTCTTTCACTCGGCGTTTCTACCCCCGGCTATCGCTCTGTATTATACCCATTCTTTCCCCACCCCCTCGACGTTTGCAAACGGAGAAACAGGGCTGGCACGGGACCCCTCTCGTCGTTTCGCCGGATATCGCGAAGAACTTTTCGCTCGATCGTATTCGTAAATTCAATTTAATCAACAGCCACGCGGTGCGATTCCCCGTCCTTCGTAGTTGATCTTCGTTACGCGTCACGCCTTTCGTTCTCGCGTAATTAAATTCGATTATGCGTGCATTTCCATTGCAGATCCGTCGCGGATCCTTTGCATAACGAAGTATACCTCGTTCGATGATACGTTCCTCGCGAAGTTGCTCGCATTTATGCAACCTCGCTTACGCCATCGCGTTCGAGTCCCGATTCCCCTTGCGTGATTTCCCGCGGAACGATCTCGGTCCGCGTTCGCCTCGAGCGAGTTCCGCTCTGTTCCAGAATCGATCCTCGAGCGTGTCACGACCACCTGGCACAGTTCTTCTAAATCGTAGAAATCAAAGTGGAAGAGTTAAGGTCGATCGATGGCGAATCCGAGGAGATTCACAGCGCTGCGGATCGTGCCCGCACTCGACTGGAATGCGCGCGATAGCGAGGCCACTTTCGCGTGCCGGGGCTTTCAGGCTTTCTATGATCTTGCGTAACACACGCGAGGCACACGTGCACACCTGTCGATACGCCTTCTAACGAATTTGCAGCGGAATCGAGCATCGGAAGCGGCAGAGCCTCGAGAGTGCCTCCACGCTCCATTCTGCTTCTCCGCTCGAGTGTTTCAGCTGCGGGATGTAAACACCATCTCTGGGTCGGGATCCCTCTCGGCTCCGTTGATCCGCGAGCTCGTTGCATAATTGCCGCGAACCGGTTCGTCGACGATATGGCCGCAGGATTGGGATTCATCGAGGGAGGCCTGGCGGATGGTTGGAAACCTCGGGATTACGAGCGGAGAACTCTCGCGATTAAGGGCTCCGCGCATCGCGCGTGTTATTTCCAACGCGTTGAACCTGCAATCGGGACCCGGATCGTAGAGACGCAGCGTGAAGCCAACGATCAATTTTCAAGTATAGCCTGAGACCGGAGCTAACCTTTTCGATTGTGATCGACGAGCCGAGGAATTGGTAGAACTAGTTAACGAAACAGGGATTGGATATTATTTTTATAGCGAGGTATATTAACCCTAGAAAGCTTTTATAACATTATGGTGTTTATGCGGGGTGTACGGTGCTATTTAAATCGGGCCATTAGATTGTAACTCGCCTTGGAACTTGAACGCGCAGCTTGTCGTATTACGGTTAATATGCATCGCGTGCAAGGACGCGACGAGGTGCGAATTTCTATTTATAGCCCGAGCTGGTTAGCACCTGGCCGGTAATTCGCGATCGGAGGAAAGTCGCGGCACGGGGGTCTAGCGCGACCCCTTGGAGCCGGGTCGCAGAGGGGTGGTTCGGGTTCATCGAACGAGGGAAGAATTCGAGCACTTGGGCCGAAAGTTTCCCGATTAAGATCGGACTTTTACTATTTTTAGCGAAAGTAGTGAGACGCCGCGAGCTTTCACCGGTATCTACGTGATCGCCGGTCTTCCCTTCGTTTTGCATAGTTTCTCGTTTTACCGAGAGCCGGCACTCGAGTTGTTGGCATGCAGCGGAGGCGCTTCTTCCCGTAGAATCTATTAAAGTTCATCGTACCTAGCGGGGAAGCTACGAAAGCCGAGAAAAATGCCGGCGAGGACGTGCCGGTATGCGAGTACCGCGACGTTTATTCGTACTCGCAATGATTTACGGGGGGGTACTCGCCGATTCGGGGTTACGACCCTCTATCGATCCCAGACGCGATTACTCGCTCGTTAGCTCGGAGCTCGTTCGGTGGTTTACCTCGATTAGCGAACTCTCGATTACTCCCGCTCTCTTGCCAGTCTGGTGACATAATCGGTGTTCATCCAGGTTTAATTCGCTCGATGGAACGATACAGCGACACGGGGGGCACCTCGACGCGAGAGGCTTTGGTACGTCGAGCCACGTTTCGCCGGGGAACATGGCCGGACGACGGTCGAATGTTAAGCGTCTTCTCGTAAGCTTTCAGCGGTCGTAAATACTCGCAACGACGCGTTTGCGTTGCATAATCTCTCGTCCCGGTGGCTTGGCAAAAACCGTTTCCTAACGTCGCCGCGGACACCGTGAATTATGGATATCTAGTTGTGCAAGTAGACTGATGATCTGCGTACACTGGCGTTCTTTTTTACTTCCATTTGTTAACATCGTTACGTTCACGCAATGGTCCTGGCTCCGATGTAACCGGCACGATGCGCTTGCATAAGATCTCCGAGAGGCGTGTACGCACCGATCGCCCCTTTCCGCCGATTTCTCGAAAGTGGGGCGGATGCAATAACATATTTGCGACCTTTTTTCGACCGATCCGTTCGCCGTAATTTCGCCCGTTCTCGTAACAGGCTGTTGTAGCAACGGAGCGAAACGATTGCGCCGGTTTCGCGAATAAAAAGCGACTCGTGCAGATGCCGGGTTCGAGGGGACCGAAGACACACGGAGGCAAGCGCGAGGAAATCGACTCGTCGCGAGATTAAAAATGCTACCCCTCGTGGAATATTCTTAACGTCGCTTCTGGGACGAAAAAGGTTAACGAGGTGTCGGATTATACATATGCATGCGCGAGATTAAAACGTCCTCGCTTCTTAAACAACGCGTAGCACGCGTTTAATTTCGTGGAAATTTCGCGGAGGTCGGAATTTCTGCGAGAATTTTACGAATAAACCGTCGTTCGGCGAATCTCGATACGAAATTGCGCGTACACTCGCGAGAGTTACTCGTGCATACTCGTCCAAGTGAATGTAACCATTGCGCAAATTCCGGTCACGTAACCGAGACGCTAAGAGAACCGTATTTTTGCTCGTCGTTAGCATTTTTATGGAATTTCTCGATCACTCCGATGTCCCACCGGGGATAGCGAATCAGGGTTCGCCCTTTTTCCATCTCGAAATTTCCCGCATCGGGCGCGGCAAGCCGCGCGGAATCCGCGACGCGGGCACCGCGAGTCGCCAGGGGCGTACAAAATGGTCGCTCGCGGGGTCCATTCTCGCGTTATTTAATTTCCAGTTGCCTCACACGCGGAAACTTCGTGCCAATTTTGTTTACGTAACTCGAAGAGCCTCTTCCGGCCATTCGTATTTCTCCCGCGAAAGTGCACGAGAGTTCTGGCTAGCTAATCGAACGGGTCTCCATTCCCGTTCAATTTTCGTCGTCGTTCACGAGCTTACGCAACTTTTCACGCTTCTCCGCGACCTTTATTCGCGGAAACTTTCAGTCACTCCGCGTACAAAGTTCCCGCCCAATTACGAATTTTCTCGCGCTGACGTCGATTTAAGGAGACCCGATTAAAGAGAGGAAATTAGATCCGAGTACAAAGGGGATTAAAGAGACGAAAATCTCGATCGTTTCGAGTTTGCTCCCGCGATTTCCTCGCTGAAAGTCTTCGAGAGGCGAGCACGGAACTGCGAAGCCAACGATCAATTTTCAAGTATAGCCTGAGACCGGAGCTAACCTTTTCGATTGTGATCGACGAGCCGAGGAATTGGTAGAACTAGTTAACGAAACAGAGATTGGATATTATTTTTATAGCGAGGTATATTAGCCCTAGAAAGCTTTTATAACATTATGGTGTTTATCGTTGTTGACTGTATCAAATATGTCTGCTGGACTTTGGTCACATTTCTCCGGAATTAGAGTTTCTTTCCTGCGTGAAAGAGCCACGTGCCTCGAGCCCTTAAGCCGAGCTTTAATCTTCTAACGCGTTATGCATTCTTAAGCGATGCGATGAAACGTTCAGTGGCGCGATGTTCTCCCGACGTATATATCCGTCGGCAGTAGCGCACAGATTAAACGAAAATAGCCGAAAATAAGTTAATCAACGCTGCGGGGAGGCAGCTAAATGGCTCCACGGAGGAAGATAAACTGGAGAAAAATGGCTGCATAGAAAATATCGAAAAATTCTTGATACGTGTATTAAAAGAAAGCTCGAGGAGTCGAGTACCCTGGACGATAACTCCCGATACAGAATTTCCGATGAAAAATTAAAAGTCGGTTATTCAAGCGTATGATTAGCGTTCGACGTTGGAGGAGCGAATAATTTGCAAGCTCGGGGGGTGGGTTGGAGTATTTGAAGGGTGCAATTGATGTACACGTGGTAAGGGAGAGCGGCTAAACGTTTTTGCATTACTTACGAGAGGACGTACGACTTGGGATCGCGCCAGAGGTTGTAATCGCTGGAAGGCACAGGCTTCACCGCAACGATGTGAATCTTCGGGCCGGTGGATCGATAGGTCGAGTTGCCTTCGAGTTCGACCCGATCCGCGCTGGCTCTCAGCATCGAGGTCAGGGATGCCTGGTCGCACGTAGCCGGCAGACAAAGGCCCAAAAATACCTGTCGTGTCTGGAAACAAATTGGTTCGAGTTCCGGTCAAAAACGTTCCACGCGAACTTAATTAAATTTGAGACGCTGGTTCGCGAGATAAATTACGTGCTGGCGGCTTCAATTTCACGATTAATTAAACTTTTTACCCGCCCTCGTTCCGCGTTTAAGGTCTACCTTCCACGAGCTTTTAATATTCGATCTCTTTCGAGGCTTCGCTCGTCCTTTCAGAGACGTCGCGGATCCCAGAGTCGCGATAGAGCTGACGGGACGCGACGCGGGTCTCGAGCTTGCCTGGATCTCTGCAAGATAAGCTCCTCTCGATCGAGGCTTTCGCGTTCGTTTGTCAGAAATTACGCAGAAATACGCGGAAATACGCGGAGCTGAGAGGATTAGCGAACTAGCGACGAAAGAAGTACGTATTTCTCGAAACGCCTGAAATCTCTATTTTCAGGATCTCCGTGACGCGCATTGGCGTAGGAGCAGGGTAGCTTACGTACACCAGCGACGAAAGTTTCGAGCCACCGCGTGTTCCGGAGGACTCGAACCTTTAAAAACACGTGGCCTAAGAATTTCGTTACCACGAAAAGCTCTTAAAATTATCACCGGCACCTGTAGCAGACATTTTTAATGTCCGTAGTGTACACGGGTTGTCTGCGTCATCGCGATAAGACTAGCGAAATATTTTTCAAAGAAGCGACGTCGCGAAAAGAACGTTGGAGCAAAAATTATTCGGCACGAGGCCGTCTTTTCAAAAATCCCAGTGTCCTTCGAACGACCTCTGCTCGTCCAGTTGCAGGGAGAAAAAATCGTTACGTTTAATCTTGCCCCAGCCTCGATGCTTTCAATTTTCAGACGCTGAAAGAGAAAGCGATGCTTTATTGCTTCGTTCTATTTTTATGGCTGCGAGACTTTATTTTTAGGTTAGCAACGAAAATTCGCGCAATTTATTTTTACGATCATGCCGAGGCGTACTCCTTGCACAGGGACCAATCGGATCCGCGTCCCTCCCTGTCGTCATCCTTCCAGCTCTGCAAGGCAAAACTACTTTCGTTCGAAGTTTCGCCTCGGTCACGTTTCGTGGGACTTATAAGGACGCGAAGGACACGGTTAAACGTCGACTGGGCCACGATACTACGGGGCCATTCGTCGGTTTTCGCCAGGGGAATATTCGGGCATCTCGGAATTTTCGCGAGTTTCCCACTTCCCGAACAGTTTCTCGGCAGCTCTGCGCCGGTTTCCGTCCCGATTAAGCTCCGTCCGGCAGCGGGAGACGCGTCGCGATAACGAAAGAAAACAGCCGCGGACCAGGATGTTGCTTCCCCTAATCGCGAGGTATAAAACGTCGCGTAATCCGATTAACTCGAACGATAAAACTCGGATTCCCCGTGGGAACCGAGTTGGCCCAAGCTTCTCCGCAACCGGCCGGTGCTCCGAGGCCGATTAAAACGCCGATAGCCACCTCGTCGTCGCCTCTGACTTTTCCATGGAAATAGAATTCCTCGTGCTCCTCTCCTGTCCCGATATTTTTATCGTTAGTCGTCCGACAGACGCTCGTTCGATCAATTAGGCGCTGATTTATTCCGATCGCGGTGGATCTCGTGACGGTATGTACGTCCCTGGGAGTCGCGCATTTAATTAATCCGCGTAATAATTCATTCGCCGTTGAAGCTTTCGCGCTATTCGGCTTCGTATTGAAGCCGGTCAGAGAAACGAACCGGGACGGTGATCCTGCGGGCCAATCTCGAGGAACCGGGACTCGGGTACTTACCGATAATTCGAGCTCCTTCGGCAGGGTCAAGTACATTCTGGCCACGTGAAATTTCACGGGGTAAGGCGGCCAGTCGTCGAGGTCCTGGCGAATTTTCCCAATGGACGCGTTCAGCTCTCTGCAGAGGGTGCTCGAGCCGAGCCAGAAGCCGTTTCCGAAATGGAATTGCGACGAGTAGCGGCCGCTGGCGTCGGACACTGCGGAGAAAAAAGAAGAAGGTGCTCGTGGAGGGATGAAACGCGATAGAGAGCATTGTTCCGGAAGGCAGAGGAAGGCCAGAGCACGTCGCGCGTTCGTCTCTTTTTCTAATTCCTCTCTGGAGATCCGAAAACTGCTCGCAAGAGAGATAGGCCTTCGAACCGGAAGGAACAACGAGGACTCGAGGAGAGTGCAAGGGTTCTTCCCCGAGTAGCTCTTCTACCTGGCAACTCGTTCCGCGTCACGGATCTTTCCTCTGCCCTCGAGTTTTCGTTTGATCCGCGTTCGGGGCTCGCGCGAGATTCTCTGAAATCCCGCTTTCCAGGGCTGCATTACGCGCGACCGCGCTTTGAAGGTTCATTGCCAGTTACGTAAAGCAAACTCGCGACCACGAGAGCGGAGAAAGTGCAGTCTGCCGATGCAGGAAACGACCACCCACCAGCGACCGCGTAAGTGGACGCGATTCCGCGAGAATCTTGATCGTCGTTCGAATTTCGCGCGCAAATACTTTCGACACCGCGTACCATAGGCAAGTGTGCACACCTGCGTTGGAACGTTCCGGGAAATCGATAGGGTTAATTTTACCGTCCCAAATTTCTTTCTCGGTTTTACGCGTTACTTCACCCGATCAAACCGTGGCGTAATATCGAAGAAATATTATACCGTTTAGAAATCCGAGCCCAAATAATAGGTTACGTGCCTCGTCAATTTCCCCAATTTTTCGACTACCGATGTACATATATGATGCAAAATTCAAAGCTTGGCAACCGGTTAATCGTTATTCACTTTTGTTGGACGTTCGAATTTTTTAAACGACCAACCATTTTGACATTTCGATCACGATGCGATACAGACCAGTGCAGATATTTGCCAAGCTTTTTATTAAAAAATTTCTCATAAAAATACAAACCACGTTTCTATCGATTCGGTACACCGGAGCATCGAATGGAATGGAATGGAATCGGTGGAAATTCGACACCGACTGGAACGAAAAAAAATAATCGCGCAATTGCGACTCGCTTTCGAATGGCAGTGTGACGCAGTACAACGATATGTCGCGAAAGGAATAATCATAGAGTGGTACATAGTCCGCTTTCGAAACGGCCGGGCGACGAGCCAGCTAGGTTCGGTTCGACGCACGGGATAAAGCGACACGTAAGATCTCGCGTGACGTAATAACTCGCGCGCGTTGATACGAATTCGTACGGTCTAAGGAGCAATTCCACGCCGACTCCGAGAAACGTTTCCGTTCCCTCTCGAGGTCCTTGCCATTTCGCGTTCCGCGTCGCGATTTTAAAACGCGCGTTCCGCAATTTCCAAGCGTCGTTACACCTACAGTCGCCGCGTTCACGCGAGCGCGTTAAATTCCAATTTCCATCCATCGCGAGCGGATCCGCGCGCGCGCGCGCTACAACGCCTGTACCTCACGGACTTGTCAATCTTTCGGAAGCAGCGTGTGCCACGATATTATCGAATATTATCGGATATTATCGGATATTATCGGATATTATCGGATATTATCGAATTTTATGGAATACTATCGGATACCGTTTACGCGATTTACGCTTTGCCACCTACGCGCGGCAACTCGCGGCGTCGCGTGTCAGCGGCAGGATCAGACGTTATCGACGTGGGCGCGAGCTATTCGGGATATTAAATCAGGGAGCAGGAGGTGGCAGACGCCGGTGGAATCGGTGGATGGAGCAACGTCGATCGGTAAAAATCGCTGGTCGTATTTCTACGTCCGCCCACGTCGAGACGTCGGCGCGCCTTTCGCGAAAATCGCGTCGGAATCGGTGTCACGCGGCGTTCGCGATTTTCGCTTTGCAGTCGGGGCTTCGCGGTGCTCCGTGACCGGCGTCGACAATCCTGCTTGTTGCCGGAAGCAATCGCGAGCCTGGGGAATCGCGCGATTCTATTTGGCTTGGCTCGTGCGACCGCAACCCCGATCGATTCGCCACCAATTCGTCGTCCTTTTCACCCACCGATCGCGATCGATGGATCCTCGATCCTCTGCTCCTCCGCCATCGCGGAACCCCGACTTCGGCTGGTCCGGGACTCGTAACGCGATTCCGTCGCGCCGGCGCCGATCCCGACGCTGAAAAACGCCGCGACGCGCGTCACGGGGGGAATCGAGGGGCCCCATAAACGCCGTCAATCGTAACGTTAATTAGAGCACGCTCGCGAACGCGATTTGGCCACCGCGATTCGGCGGTGACGTATTTAATAGCTGCGACGAGAAACCGATGACCGGAATAGTCGGCCATTGGAAATCGCGCGGCGATGCGAATTTCGCGTGTCGGTTCGCCGATAAATCGAGTTATGCACGGTGTTTAGAAGCTGCGCGGTATCGACACGGAATGTACGTGTCGGTAATTGCGAAAGTGGTCGGGGTAAAAAATTTACGAGAAATTAATTTTACTTATTTCGCGTGGCATCCATTTGCACCGCGATAATATAGAAGCATTTTTACAAAGTAGACTGTAAACCCGCGCGCACTTTCTAGAAACACCCGGCAAGTAGAGCGATTTTTTCTTATAACCATGAGCTACGAGCAAATCTGAAAACTCGAAATGCTCGCGTTTTCGAGACCGAGATATCGCGAAACGACCTGGATCTCGATTATATTCGTCCCCCTTAATTACCCCGTACTTCACCCTGTCCTCGCTATTTATTTCACTTTTCGTTATTTCTATCCCCATTATTACCTCGTGTTTATAGTCCCGCTTATTCGCTCGGTAGTTCGCCCGTAGTTTATTTACACGTGTATTTATCTCTATACCCCGTCTCGCTCGCTTTATATCTTACAAACGGGTCTCTTAGTCGGCTAAACAAACGCGTGCAGCGTACGTGACCCCGTAAATGGCGTTTCCACGTTACGCATTTATACGGGTGGAATTGGCAGTTTTAACAAATTGCTGGCTACCTTCGAAGGAACGCCGCGAGTCCTACGAATGGCCGGCGAATAATTCACCTCGATTAACGTTATATTACCCCATAACTGATAACGATAGGTAAAAACGATACCGCCAAGATGGCGTTTGAGATTGGAGGTTAAGCTTGTAATTCGCGCTGGCGCGATGCTTCGAATAGCCCTCGAACGGGAAAGATATACGACGCGGACCACGTTCGTAATTACCCGCGCATACGTATTTCAGCGCGTTATCGAACGAACGCCACGCTTTATGGAAATGAAGCAATTGCGTAAACCTGACGGACGTCGGGCACCATTTGTCCCGCCGGGACACGGACTTTCCATTCATCCCGGGTCGGAGTTAATGGAAAGGAAATATTTCGCAGCGGGAACTTTCTTCGAGGAGTTTAATAATCATCGGAGCAGAGTTACCTCCTCGAGCTTTGGCGACGCGCGAGCGGCAGGATGGTTTACAGCGCCGACGTGTCGGTTAACTCCCGTTGTGATTTACGGTAATAACTCGGCGTGCTTACCGCGAGACCTAAATTTCGTAGTTACTCTCGTTGGAATATCGTAATAGACTGTCCATTGAAGCCGGCTTTTTGCGCGCTTTCCAGCCGCGAGAGCGTACTCGAGATCGCTTTATCCGCGGGGAAGCAGGCTGGAAAGTTGGTCTGGCCAGGAGTAAAGCGTCCGTTGTTGAAAGCGACGAAAGGATCGCGACAAAAGCCGCGTAACCGCCTAACTACAATGAACCGGTAAATTGCAGTTTCGCAAAGTAACGACGCATTTAGCAATCGGGTCTACCAGCTCGACGGCTCGACGGCTCGCCGGAGCGTGACTTTCTCCGTTCGATCGCGGCCGATCCTCGCCGAACGTCGTTCGATCACGCCGGGCTCCGAAAAATTTTGGGAAATATTTATAATATCGTTCAATAGATCGTCTATCGATCGTTTACCGATCTCACGCCGCTAGGTTTTACTCACTCTTGGCGGCCCAAAGCTTCCCATCCTTGAGAGACTCGAGGAAGAATTCCAGCTCTTTGCTGCAATCGTCTCCGAGTTTACCGGGCACTCTGGACCACTCGAGAGGATCGTAAAGATCCGCCAGCCACTGGATACTGTTCGCCGTCCTCTCGAGCTTCTTCTTCGCAAAGTCGATATCGAGATCTCGCCGCTGTTCTTGCTCCTCGGCGAACAGCTTCAGATGGTTCTTCCAATCAAGCTCCGGATTGTTCTTGCTGAATCCAATTAGCGGGCCCCGTCTATCCTTCGACGCTTGCTTTCCCGCCTCGTAATCGCTGCTGTTCGAATTTCCCGCCTCGATCCTGCCCACTCTGCCATCCCGGGGTCTCCCGATTCGCAGGATGTTGGACTCGTTCTTGGAAACCGGGCTGGCGTGCGCGACGCAGCACAGCGCGAGCAAAAGGTAGCCGAGGAAGAGTGCCATTTTTCCACGATTATGCAACGCTCCGACTATCCTCCGTTTTCTCTCTCGCTTTCCAAGCCCGATCGATCCTCCAATTCCGCGCCGAATCTTAGCCGCATCGATTTCTCTCGACGAAACTTCCACGCGTCATTTTAAATCCCGAGGACGGTTAAGCTCGCCCCGATGGGCCAATTCTCGTTCCTCGATCGCTCAGCTCTTCGGATCGTCGAGCATGTTTAAAGCCCACGAGTCGATCGTCCACGATTTAGATGCTCGGTTTAGATCCACGTTCGATTACCGTTTATCCGCGAATCCTCGACTATGCGAAATTTCGAGAAAAATCACGACGGGTACCGTCGAACGACGAAACTGAGTTCGGGAGCGGCACCAAAGTCGAAGAGATCGGTTGAGTGGTTGGAAGAGGACAAAGCCGCACACGCGAGGCTAAGGATCACGCACTGAATGAAGCGAATCGAGTTAGCAGTCGCGTTTACCCGTGGTCGCCGGTTCCCCTTTCTCTCGACGATATACTTTACCGTGGTAAACACATTTCCATCTTCGGCCCCCCGTGTACCGTCGCCACTTGTCTCCTTTCGAACAAACTCTCCATAAATCCCGGTGATCCATGCGCCAACGGCGGGCCCTGCGCGCGCCAGAGATCACTCCGCGATTCCTCCTCGCACGGTGCTCTTCCTCCTTGGACTTTGCGACTCTGGATGGTGGGCAACTCGGGTCGTGTTGGATCGTTCGACTTGCTTCGAGGAAAAAGGCTTCTTTCTCCGCGCCGCGTAATTGCCTGCGTTCGAAGTTACATGGCGATCCTGATGGCCATCACAGCCGCTTCGATCCCTCGGAAAATTGCGTTTGCTCGTTGCGAGAGCCACAAATTCTCCGCGTTGTAATTATTAACCGATGTTAAAGGGTTGACCTTTAGCCGGGTGTTTTTGCATGAGAATTTGTTACGCCATAACTCTCGGATACCGTGCTCGGACGTAAATCGTTGTTCGTTCGTTAGCAGTGTTTGGAGAAAGCGATGGATATTATGTTGATTGCACGAGTTATGGCCCATAGAGTAGCTCGTTACCGTTGCGTCGATCGTACTAATGCTTACCATTTAAACTGCCGCTTCATTTTTCTCCTCCGGGCACCTGTAATTCTTTCCACCGATCGCTCGTTGCCTCTCCAAGGACGACCGTGTGGCTTTAGAAATTTCCCTCGCGTAAAAATCCACGTGTCTCGTAAATTTTCCGCGCATCTGCATCGCGTCATAGGTGCACACGGTAAAAGTGTTCCAGCCTCTCTTCTTGTTTTACCGCGAGTAAGTACACCGCCCCGTGCGTCGGCTACTCGTTACACCGGCAAATGGCGTACGGGCGTTTCTACCGGGCTTGGTAAAAGGGAAAAGAAAAAACGGCAGAGAAAAAGGGGTCGGTGGCTAGCTTTTCTTTTCCTCCGTTCGTTGCGTTTCTTCTTCGCGTAAGCCATACGTAACCCGAGGAACACGCGGTAATATTTCACGAGCCGCGTTTCACCGCGCGAGAAATCGGCGAATTTTAAATATCGCGCAATGAAAATATTTTTCGACCAGCCACCTATTTTCCTACGCCCTTCCCCCGAATACTCGAATTAAACTACCGTCCTATCCTGAAAGGGAAAAGTTTCCGACGTCTAGATTTTCTCCGTGAAATTGCGTCTTCCGCTTCTACCAAGCTCCCCGAGAGCCTGCAAAGTGTTTGATAAAATCTTGTCGCCTGATAACGGAGAATAAGCGTTCCTCGGTCTCACGACCGACGATCCTCCGGACCTTCACCCGACGCGGAATCGCAGGCTCGCCGTTCGATCCTGCGGAAACAGTGACCGCGACTGGTCGCGACAGAGATCCTTGGATCGCGCTTCTGGACGCTGGTTGCGTCGTCGAAGACACGGACACAGCGGTATTTTCACTTTTGTTTCGCCTTTACGCAACACGGCCGCCTGCAAAACCGTTACGAGGGACTTTCGATGATCGCGCGTCGCTCTCACCCGACCTCCACACGCGCCGGCATCGCCAAGGTTTCTCCAAATTTCTCGATCCCGGTTCGTCTTTCCTCCGTTCCGCGAGCCGGTTCTCCGCCACGGAAACCTCGCGGAGATCCGGTTGTCCGTTACGCAACCGAGCTTTCTACGCGGCCAAACTCGCCACCGGTCCCCTCTTCACAAGCTGCAGCCTCCGAGCCGAGTCCCCCGAGCTGGGCCGCCGCTTTGTCGCTTTCGAGCCGATCACAGGACGCCATTCGCGCTCGATTCGTGCCCGCGTTATCGCCGCACGGACATCCTGCGACAATTGCTTTCCTTTGCCGATGGCGCCGGGATAATCCGCGATTAGCTTTCCCGGCAGGTGGAATTCGCACGCGGAGGGGTCCTCCTACCCCCGTCGGGGTAGGGCGCTTCGAATGGCGCGAGGGGGGAGCGGGGATCGAGACAAATGGATCGCGGCGAGTTTGAGTAACGAGCAGCCATTTACCGGATGACACGGCATTTTTCCTGCGAGTTCCTTTTTGCTTACGGGTGAATGGTATCCCACGGATATACGACGTGGCGATATTCCTGCATATTTTATTCGCTCGCGGTCTGGAATCGCTTGAAGAATCGCGTAAGCAATGTCGTAAAGGCGTTCCTCCGGAGAACCGCGGCGGCCATAAAACGCTGCCTTGACAAATATCGGAGGAACGTGCAGCGCGCGTAATTGTCCCGCAATCTAGGAAAAGGGTAGCCCGTTAATGGGGTATTATTTCCAGAGAGGAGATAGGAGAAGCTGGAAGAAAGGAGCGATTACTCGAGAGATAACCCGGCGAAAAATCGCGTTTGCAAATGCCGTGCATGCGGAAGTGAAAGGCCGAGTAGCGACGGAAAAGTTTTCTAGCGCGATTTCCAAATGTTTTCTCACTGCCGAGTTTCTCTCGGGCGAATTTTTTTTTTTTTTTTTTTTTTTAGCCCGGACACGAACCCCGATGGCGAGCTGCAATTCCCGCGGTCGGTAAAACAGCGACGCTCGTTGTCTATCGAGCTGCGTATTTTTCAGGTACCTAGTACCGCAGACGAGGTACGGCACAGACGCGTCATTCGATGCAGTTTTTCTTCCGGGAGATTTTCTCCGGGATTCCATAGGCTCCTTACCATTTCACTGCCGCTTCCAACGTTACCGATCCAGCCGAGAACAGAACCGCGACGTTAGCAGTGGTTGGAATTGAAACTAAATTTGAGCGCGGAATTATGAATCAGGTATCGTGTAGGATGACTCGTAATTTACTGAAAGTATACTATTTTATACTTTTCTGATAAATTCGTTTAATTATAATACGGTAGAGTGGATATTCAGGTATTAGAGAATTTTATTTTTATTCTTCATCCTTTTTATTGCAATCTGTAATTATTAATAAACGTCCCAATTTCGATTATTTTCCTGACATGTTGTAATATTATAGTACGATCCGTACGTTTCTAATGTTTGATACTGAAGTTTCTTTTTGCATAAATGATGCAAATTGTGAGATCTTGCCATATGGGTGTGGCTATGTATCGAGACTCTTACAATTTAAACTAAGGCGGACACGTTCCACGACGTGCAACGATGACTGGGGTTTGAAATATTAGAACGAGAAAGGAATTTATGAAGCGGATGCGAAATGAACGCTAATTAAGATACGAAACGAGGAATACAAGAAATGGGCGAGGAATGAAAAGCACACGAAAGGTAGTCGACTTAACGAAAGCTAATGATCCAACGACGGAAAAATACAAAGTCGATTATTAATTTTAATACCCTCGTGCATACCGCGACAGGTGATTCATCGGGTAATAGATTCCTCGTTAATTCCTTATGCCTTTTATGAGAAATAACACAACAAATCCGAAATTAATAAATTTCTCGAACCTATATTCTCGGGATATCTTTAAATCATGAAAGTAATTCGACCACGTCGCGTTAAAATTTAGTCGTGAAAATGTTCCGGCAATCAATAACTTGCCGAGTAATTTAAAATTTGTCGAATTATACGGGGTGGTAGAGCGTGGTTCGAGTAGACAATGGCGGACTCGTGGTACTAATTGATGAGCATCGTCCACCCCATTCGCATCCAAGAACCACCCCGGTTAAGCTTCTTGTCTGTTCTGCCCGAAGTTAAATTGACAAATGAGCTCCAGCTGCGATTTCGTTGCCATTAATATCACTGATTTATCAGTTTTGCCACGTTCTTATCCCGTTTCCTCACGTCTCACATTTCGTTTCTCGTTATAATTTGTTACTGACAAAAATTTCGCCATGTATAAATCCTTTTTAGTCCACGATATACCTGCTCGTGCTCTAGAGGTATTAGTTTTCCTCGTATAGCTGGCTGAAACGTGTTCGTTGAATTTTTTAAGCTAGGAATAAGCCTGCTCTATGCAAGAGTGAGGTTAATCAATGGTCATCAAACAGGAATAAAAAAGTTTTCTTATTTTCAACTTTCCTAGTTTCTTTTATTTTGCAAAATCGAGATCAATTAACCCTTTGCACTCGAGAGGTGCCTCTAGGTCGCCATTTGATAAAATTTCGAAGCTCGATATTAATTGATATATCAAATTTAAAATAACGTAACACTGTGCGAGGTATCGGAATTGAATAATTCTACGTGTTAACCCTTAGCACTCGAGAGGTGCCTCTAGGTCGCCATTTGATAAAATTTCGAAGCTCGATATTAATTGATATATCAAATTTAAAATAAGGTAACAGTGTTCGAGGTATCGAAAATTAAATAATTCTACCTGTTAATTATTACACGATTTCTTATTTACTGCTTAACAAAATATCGGTAGCTTTATAGCAGAAAATCTTCGAACTCCTACTCTTCTTTAGCCAAAAAATCCTCGAGTGCAAATGGTTAGTTATTGTACGATTTCTTATTTACTGCTCGAGAAATATCATCGGCCTTATGGAAGAAAATTTGTCAACTCGTACCCCTCTTTAGCCGAAAAATCATCGAGCGCGAAGGGTTAATTGTACC